AGATGCTATGGATTGTGAATGCCATGGACAAGATGGATATACTTGCTTTCAAAGTTGTGTGTTTGTTTTTTTTTTTAAACAACATCTGTTTGTGCTGCTAATGAGGGGAGAGTCATATGTTATGTCTTTGGAAAGGCAGCTTTTTAGCCAAAAAGGTGTGCCTAGAATGTGGATCGAGACTTTAATCTTAAAAAGCAGCAATAAATGAAGTTATAGAAGCAACAGTTCTAGAAAGATATTTCAATGGCTACACAGATCAAGTAAAATACTCTGAAAATGACACCAAATATTAATAACTACTGAATCAAATCACTAAATTTAAGTAAAAATTTTGTTAAAACATTTATTGTCTGTAGAAACAAAATTTACATTGATTTTATATAAACTATGTTAAACATACATATAAACATACCTACATCTTAATATATACTTATGAATGAGGCTTTTAGATATGGAAATAACATTGTCAAAAGCACCATTGTGAACTCCAAAGACTACAGACTTAAAATACATTTGCATTTAACTCCCTCTTCAGTAGTTTAAAAATGTCATTTCTAATGCAATTATTTCCAAGTGTGGATAAAAGGTTTCTAATGTTGTGTTTGCATGTGTACATACATGTGCACATACACACATTAGATGGTCCTTGTGAAACTATGGTATAAATAAGGTCAACATTAATATATTCCTTAGAAGTGGACATTAGTCCACATTCTCATTCAATTGGGGAAAAAAAAAAAGTCCTGCTGTTCTTAAAAACAAAACAGTGAGGCTTATTTTGTTCCATGAAGAGTGTACTTAAACAACTGTTTCCACCCTATCTCTTCCCTCAAGAATAAAGACATAAGAGAAGCCAGTCACAAAATAAAACACATCTACTACATTATTTACAGAAAATGAAATATTAAAAAGACAACATGAGATTTAGACTGCTTAGACGAAATTCAGAGTAATGAACAGCAAACAGAAAACTCTATTAAAGTGGCAAGCAGCATAGAGCTATTAAACCACATGGCTAAATACCTACTCAAAAACCCCTCTGACAACAAAAAACATCAGGCATGGAAGGAAGGGGCATGTGTTACAACAATAGTTTTCTCCAATCTTAACACTGAAAATTTATGCTCACCAAGCTTGAAACAGAACACACTTAAATGTTCATCACTGTCCTTCAGGTCTATCAAGGAGTCAATTGTTACAAATATGCTTTTGAAGATCTTGAAATGGCTTTTCAAAAAAGCTTCCCCCCCCCCCCCCCCCCCCTTGTAAGGAGGCTGAAGAACCTCCCATCTTCAAATCCTGCAGCAATGGAATGAAGTCTGTCAAGGGTCAGTTATGTGCAGAAACATTCCCCCCCCCCCCCCCCCCCTCACCCCGCGGTGCGTGCGGAGTGTCTTAG